TTCAGTTTTAAAGATTCAAAGTCAATGATTCAAGATCAAAGATTCAGTTTTAAAGATTCAAAGTCAATGATTCAAGATAAAAGATTCAGGATGAAAAATTCAGGATTACAGATTCAAAGAGAAAGATGCAAGATCAAAGATTCAGGATCAAAGATTCAGAATTACATATTCAAAGTCAATGATTCAAGATCAAAGATTCAGGATGAAAAAATCAGGATTACAGATTCAAAGTCAAACATGCAAGGTCAAGGATTCAGGATTGAATATTCAAGTTTAAATATTCAGAATTAAAGAATGAGGATTAAAGATCAAAGATTCCGAATTACAGATTCAAAGTCAATGATTTAAGATCAAAGATTTAGGATTATTAATTCTGGATTAAAAATTCAAGATCAAAGAATCACAATTAAAGATTTTAGGACCAAAAGTTCAGGGGTAAAGATTCAAGATCAAAGATTCAGAATTAAAGATTCAAAGTCAATGATTCAAGATCAAAGATTCAGAATTAAAGATTCAAAGTCAATGATTCAAGATCAAAGATTCAGGATCCAAAACTCTGGATCAAAGATTCCATTTCAAAGATTCAAGATTAAAGATCCAAAGTCAATGATTTAAGGTCAAAGATTTACGATTAACAATTCAGGATTAAAACCTCAAGATCAAAGAATTAAGATTAAAAAGTTTAGGATCTATGCTTTCATTAGCTGTCAGATTATTTTCTTAAAACACATTCTGTTTGTCACCTCAACCATGGAGGTTGTGTTTTCAGTAGCGATGGTTTGTTTGTCAGTGCTTCCATCTGTGCACAAGATCACTCAGCAAGTGAAGGACGGAACAAACAGAAACTGAAACTTAGAACAAAGAACAGAGTCAGAGGCTGCTTTTTATTGATGATGTCATACTGTGACAGCCAATCAGCATTCAGCAAACTTTGTCCCACAAATCACATCTCAGCTCACTTATTTGCATAAACTAGGGTCTTGGCAGAAAGTGTGTTTTTTAGTTCTTTTTTAGTATTTGTTGAATTTTGTATTTTTGTAGAATTTGTTTCCTAAAGAATCTGTTGAGAATTTATCTGTTTTGACACAAGTATTCTGAATTAGAGTTACGGTTAAACTGACTGTGTTCTTGTTTGTTGGACTCCATGCCTCTGTAGAGCTTTTAATTATTTTAAAAGTATATTTATGTGTAATTTAGTGATATTAGGTAACTGAGTTGTTTTTGTTGGTTTTATTGTCAGAACCGAACTGGAGTAGGAAAACCATCAAACTGTGAGACATTTAAACTGGGATGGACAGAACGTCAAGCTGACAGACGGTCCCTGTTGACCTCTCATATTTTATCTGCAAAGCAATAAGCTTTAGGCCGCCGAGCTGCAGTGCATTATGGGTATGTCAGGTCCTCCAAAGCCGTGTCCTGCCCTTTAGGGAAATGAATTCATAAATGTGAGTTACCTGAAACCTCCTCATGTCTCGGGGGTTTCCTGCATTCTTCAGACAGTTCTGGTTACATTTAAGGAAGAACTTGAGGAAGAACCTGAACAAAAACACACAAGAGGAAGAAGAAACTGCATCAAAGATAAGAAATGTTCTGAATTCACATGAATTCAAGCTTTAAGTTCTGCAGAAATTATTGTGAGTCCAAGATTGATATTCATTAGTTTAATGTTAAAGTTTCAAACTTTGTGCTGAAGGAGAATCCAAACATCGGACTCAGTGGTGGGCACCAGTGTAGGGGTCACCTCGAGTGAAGAAACAAGATTTACTGCCTCGAAGCAGGCCTCGGTTTTACTTGATGATGTCTACTTAAGGCACCCTCGGGGTAGGAGCTGGCTCACCTCGGATCAGTCAGGTAACTGATGTCGGCTCACTTACCGGTTATTGGCGAACAGGTGTTTTCCAGGTAACTTTCGTCTGTTCCAGTCCAAGCCAGAAAAATTCAAGCCGTATCCGATTCCTCCTTCCAAAATAAAATCTCCCCTTGGGAGTTAAAAACACTCATGAGGCTCAGCCTCGGGTTGAGACCACCGACAGGCATGCCGGGTCCCTGGCTGTGAAGTCTTCCCTAGTTAGCTCATGGGATCAGACTTTAAGCCAAACTGGGGTTTCTCCGGAGAGAATCCCAGCTGTCTTCCTAGGTTGGAATCAGGGAGAAGAGTGTGTTGCTCAAAGCCATCTGGGTCAGTAAAAGAAATGGACGAACTTTGGTTCCGCCCTCAGGCTTAGAGATGAGTCAGAGAAGAAAGATAAAGATTTGCCTGCCGGTGCCAGCCCAAGGTTAAAATCCTGTGGTTGTTCAACAACATGATATGATAACCTCTTTTCAGCTTTCTTCTGATAGACTCTAAGAAAAATCACTGCAAAACATTTATGATGATTAATTAACATTCCTGTTTTATAATCAGTTCTGAACCTTCTGTTGGTCCAGATAAATGAAAGATTTTCTCAGGAAAAATCCACAATTATATTATTGTGTTCACAGTAAAATAAAAACAGTGATTTACATAAAAACATAATGAAAACATTGTAATCAGATTCTCTGTGATTTTTTATACAATTGGAAATCTTTAAAGGCGGGATAAAAGAAAAGAAGTGGTTCCACTTTTCCTGTGACAGTCATTATCATGATTTAACAAATGCATAAACATTCTTAGTTAAACAACAAATGAATCATGAACAGAAGAGATTGTTCTGTCCATTAACTGATTAAGAGAACTGAGAGGTTCTCTTCCACGGTTAGAATGACCTGTCATGGCCTAAACAGAGTTCAGTTTGTGACAGAGTTCCTGTCCTCTCGTCAGGCCTGTCCGAGGCCTGCTTCGAGGCAGTAAATCTTGTTTCTTCACTCGAGGTGACCCCTACACCAGTCTGCTAAAGCGCAAATCCACTAATTGCGGACCTAAATATTTCGTTTGAGCTTCAGCGGTCTTCCTAATTTTTATAATTCATAAGTAGATTTGCGCTTTCTATAATTAAAATGCAGTACCACTAATAACTAATTATCTACCAGTCATCATTATCTTGAACAGCAGAAGGTATGGCTGTCAGTGAATCACAACACACGTGATCTATCCAACAGCACCCCTCCCAGATAAACACACTTGTTGGAAACGTATACATCCTTGCTGACAGTTGCTTTCGGTCACAGTTCTGATTTCCCACAATGCTTTGTGTCTGCTTACGTAGAAGGAAGGCAATGTTTGGTACTCCATTTCCCAGTAAAAACAGTTGACATTTGTAATCCATACTAAAATTTTGTATGCATTGATTTATTTTACTTTACAATCGGAGCTCCTTTTTAAAAAAAAAAAAAAAAAGTTTAAATGCTGGCGCTCAATGCTTGCCGTAATTGGTTGAAGCAATCCGCCAACAGGGTTAGACTGACATCTAGTGGCCAACTGGAGCAACTACATGGAAAATTCATTTCCCGACACAAATCAAATCCATCATGTACCCAGAATGCATCGCTTCAGTTTTCCAATAAACAGTTTTAAAATTACATTAATGATGCTTCTTTAATGAAAAATCTACAACAAACAAGAAAAAGACAAAGAAGCAGCTGAACTAGCAATCCTCAACAACTTTAATTTTTACACCAGGAGCTAAAGGTTTGTTTCAGGAAATCACATCCCCAGCAATCGGCGGTTGTAGAATTAAACTGTACAAGGGTTCATGCACCGTTAGTTGGCAGTGTTGTACATATATTGTACATGAATTATTGCCAGCTTGTAAATGTCAAATTGAACTTGCGCTTTAAAACTTGCTTCCGCTAATTTTTTTATGGCATAATCGCTTTTAAAGTTGTGGACCTAAATAAATTCATAAGCACTTTAGAAATTGCTGAGCTAATTTTTAGGTTAGCACTGCCCACCATTGATCGGACTGATTAAATGTGAATCAGAGTTCAGAAGAACCTGAATCACGTGACCCTGATGTCATCTTCAGACCATCACGTGACTCGAACAGAAACAATTCCTTCATGTTTCACTCCCGTCTTCAGTCTTACTCCACTCTGATGTTGGTTCCCAGCTGCTGCAGGAATCTGCTCTCTGATTCGCTGATGTGTTTGGTGATAACCTCTGACCTACAATCAGCTGCTCAAACACACACAGTCTTATCGCCGCCGTAACCCTTCAGCATCAGCATCCTCAGCTGATCGTCACTTTATCATCAGACGTGCAGACGCCACTTATCTGCTCCTGTGTTTTCTTTAATAGTGGTCTACATCGACCTCCTCCTCATTGCACTTCCTCTGCTACTTGTCTCCTACTTCCTGCCCTCTTGTTTCCTCTATCCTTTTGTCTCTCCTTGTTTCCTTCTCCTCTGAGTGAATAATTGAGGTTGTAAATCTCCACGTCAGACAGATTCAACTCTATTTGTTATCTGATAAGCAGGACAGACCTGACACAGACACACACTCCAACTCAGGGACAGACACACACACACACACACACACACACACACTCACACACTCACACACACACACACACACACACACACACTAACTCAGGGACAGACACACACTCCCTCACATCAGCAGCAGGATAATTTGTCCTCACACTGCGACTACATTTTCTACCTCATAGAGCAGATTAACTCCGACATTGAATGTGTGTCACTGCGTGTGTGTGTCACTGCGAGTGTGTGTGCCACTGAGTGTGTGTCACTGCGTGTGTGCCACTGAGTGTGTGTTCAGTGTCAAGATGTGGGATTTCCGTTTCATGAGGAGATAAATTTGGTAGTGTCCTAATTTGCTGCTCGTAAATATCAGCAGTTAGAAACTCGGTGTGTGTGTGTGTGTGTGT